TAATGAAGAAGAATTTTAAATCAATTAATAGACCACAGAATATATGAAATGAAGAATTAAAAACGAATATGGGTCATTAGTTGAACCCATATATTGTAGAGTTTCAGACAAAAAAGTGAACACTTTTATATTGAAAAGTTTTATAAGTTTTCATACACTTAGTCCTTATTATAAAACAATTTTAAATTGTATCGAATTATTTGACTCAAATGAATATCCAATTCAAGTCATACTTCCAGAAAATGAAGGAGGAGATGAAGGGTCTGAACAATGGATAGAAAAGATATTTGCACCACAATGATGTAAGAACAATAGCTTCAGCAAGGACTTCAACATGTACACAAGAAATGTTACAAAAAGGGATCGATGGAGATTTATTAAATGACCCTAAAACATGCAATAAAAGGGGAAAATTGTATGATCAAAAAGAACTTCAAAAATGTGCAGGAGTGAATCCAGAAGGCTTTTTTAATAAAATTGTGTGGGTTGGTAAAAAGATATATTGCATTATCAAATTAAACCTTTGGTATACAAAACCAAAAACAATAAAATATGGAAATGTTGAACATAAAATTACACAACCATCAATTATGAAATGGGAAACAAAGAAATTCATGAATAAACCAAGAAAACCAACAGAAATAGTAGTTTATACTGATTCATTTTGTTATTCTGCTTGTTCAGTATTTACAAAAGGATTAAAAGAATGGGGAAGTGCTATTCTTGTAGGATTCAATGGTGATCCTAATGGTAAAGATGATGAATTTGAAGTGGGATTATCACCATCAGCAGTGAAAAGTGGATATGATTTATGTAGCTCTAAATATAAAATCCCTGATGGATACTCACTTCTTTTAAGTTTCTTAGAATCTTTTAGATATAATTATGGTATAAAGAAAAAATACCAAGAGAATTTCTAACAGATGTGATAGATGAAGAGTGAATATTTATCAATATTCAAGTAATAACTTGGAAGAATTTGAAGAAGAAACATTGAAAATAGTTAATAAGTATAAAACAAAATGTAATCCAAATAATAAAAGATTAGTTAAAAGAGATGAAAAATGTGATAAAGAAATTAATATAGAACATGGACATGGAGGATATGAATGTAGAGATAATGGAGAATAGAGTACTAAATGTGTACTATCATATTGTGATGAAGGATACAAATTTGATTATAATAATAATAAATGTATTGAAGATGTATGTGTTAATCCACCATAGATAATGGAACAATAAACATGACAATAAACCTATTTTTGATACTA